GAGCCCTGTGGGGGTCACGCGGGCGGACGCCAGGGGACCCCACGAGGGCGCAGCCTGCGGGAGGCGCCGCGCCCCCCCCCTCCTGCGGCTGCGATCTCGGGGCGCCGCCTGGCACCGACATGCGCGGAGCCGCTTCTCCATTTCTCAGCCGAGAGCGCGGTGTCGACATCGTGTGTGGGCTCAGCGCGCTGCGCCCCCGCCACACCCCACTTCCCAGAAACGCAGCTGCGTCCTGTCGCCCACGGAGACGCTGCGGGGGCGTCCGCCGAGGGGCCCCAGGTGCCACCTGCACCCCGCGCTACCTCTGACGATCGCCCCGCCCGCAGGGCGCCCCCACTGCGCCCTCGGGGTCCCCCGCGTCCTTCCTTCTTCACCCCGGACCTCGTGGCCACGGCCACCCGCTCTCGAGGGCCCCTCTGGCCACCGGCTCCCCGCGCACCCCGTTTCTTTGTATTTTCCGGGTGTCTTCCAGCGGCTGCCGCTGGCGCCGGGGGTCCCCTTCCCCGGAGGGGCGAGGGCGCGCGTCTCTCTCTCGCTTGGGAACCGCGGCCTTGGGGGTGTCCTGCGCCCCGTGCCCAGCGGGGGCCTGTGTGGGGGTGGGTCACCCCGCGGCGCAGGGATCTACGCTGGGGCGCTTCGCCCGGTAGAACCGGGGCTCCTGGCTGGGGCCTTCACCCCTCCGGACCCAAGAAGTCTTTGTGGGGTGGGGGGGCTCGTGCCGTGGAACTGGGGGTCGTTGCGCGGGGCCTTCGCCAGGGCGTGGAGTCTGCGCCCCCTCCCTGAGCAGTGAGCCGCGCCCCGACCTCCGCGCGCTGCGCCCCGACCTCCGCGCGCTGCGCCCCGACCTCCGCGGCTCCTCCACTTCTCGCTTCAGTGACCATCAGCGCGTGGCCATCTCGCCCCATCCTGTCCCTGCTGCCCCGGGGCCCCCAGCGGGCTGGTTTCGGGGTGTGTCTCCTCTCCCGCGAGCCCTGCGTGTCTCCTGGCCCAGCCCGGACAGCGGGGGACCCCGAGCGACGGCGGCGGACCGGAGTCCCGGGGACCCGCGTGCCCCGGAGAAGGGTTAGGGTCAGCCTGGCCCCGAGGGACGGGGGGGCCCCCCCACGGCTGTGTCCGGAGCGGGCCCCCGCTGCGCCCACCCAGGCCAGCACCCACCTGCAAACCGAGTCCCCAGCCGCCCTGGCCAGGGCTTGGGGTGCTTTGCGGGAGCTTCCTGGGGGGCGGGAGAGTCCCCTGACCTCCCGCACCCACAGCTCAGACAGGACTGGGTCACACAGGAGCCGAGAGGGACACTTATGGGGACCCCGGGTCCACACAGGGTGTTGGGGGGCCGCTGACACCCCAGCTTCCAGGGAGGTCAGTGCCCAGTCGTCCCCCTGCGCCGGCCAGGGGGGCTCCCGTCCGTGGGGGCCTGGGGGTCCCCGCTGTGCCCCCAAGGGGCTGCCGTGGACGCCGGAGCGAGGGTCCAGCCGGGCCTGGGGGTTTTCCAAGGGGCCCCGGGTACGTCGGGTCAGTCCGGGGTCACGTCCCCGCGCAGGAAGTTGCCCAAGTCCCTGGTAATTCGGGGCGGCCAAGAGGAAGCAGCTGCAGGCACTGAGGGGGGCGGGCCCCCCCGCGCCCCCCCGGAGCCAGGCTATAAGAGAGCCGGAGACTGGCCGGAAGCAGCCCTCGCCGCGGCCGGCGTCCAGGACCGGCCAGGGGGCAGCGGCCCAGCCCCCCGTGTCCGAGCGTCCAGGTAAGCCCGGCCGGCCGGCAGCAGCCCGGACC